ATGATTAAGAATCTCATGACATCCTTAATGTACGAGGCGGCCATAGGTCTATTTTTTTAATATATTTTTTACGAATTTATTAAAGAAATATTAATTAAAAAATAATTTGATTAAATTACTTTTATTTAAATTTTAATTTTAATTTTAATATTTCACACATTAATTTCTTCTCATGTACACAATTATAAACATGTACTCATACTTACAAAAATTAAACTTATAACACGTGTTTGATAGAATTCAATATTTTTGGATTAAAACTATACATTTGAGTAAATAAACCTATTTAATATCTATATACATAATTATTTGTCTAAAATCTAAACTCAAACTCAAAATTCTAGATCTATTTACATTCAACACTAAAGAATTAATACCCAAAGAAGAAAATTCTTTTTTTTTTGTGGACTCGAACGTGAGATCTCTTGTTAAGGTTGAAGGAGTATTTACCATTCAATCACAATTTTTTTTTTTTTGGTTTCCCACTTGATATTCGATTTTCGGTACCCATATTGGAGCCCTACTAAATCCCGATTCATGCCGAAACTTGAAACTGAGACCTTCGATCAAAGATGAAAGAGTATTTACCACTGCACCAGAACCCCTGTTGGTGATATGTTAACATTCATTTCTTTCTAATTAACCCAAAATGATACTCTCCACATTTATTTTAGTTGGCATTATTTCGTTTTTTAAAAATTAAAATTAAATAAAAATACTGTAAATTACAAATTATAATTTTTATTATATTAAGTTGATTAAAAAAAGACATAGAATATTGATAAAAGTGCATGAATTAAATTTGAAATAAAAATGAATATGAATATAAAATAGAGCAACATATATTACACTCGTAAAAAGGTTAAGATAGAGGAGTAGGAAGAAAAGGCAGAAGAATGGGGTCCGCAGTTTCTTGTTTCTATTAACTCTCACTTCTGTCTCTCTATTTTTCACAATTTCTTTTTAGCGACTTTTCGTTAGAGAGGTCCGAAAAGGTACCTCTAAAACTTTTGAATTCGATCGGTAAAACAAAGCAACAAAAATGGGTACCGATCGAAATTGTTTTGCTTCTTCATCTCCTTTATGTAGCGAAACGGAACGTGTTAATTGTTCAAAAGCGCAGAATTGTCTCTTAAAGATTCTCAAAATTATCTCCACTGTCCCACCACACAACAACAATACTCCACCTTCACAAAATCTCAACGGATTTGCTGTTGACTTGAACATTGGGTTTAATTTGGAGATGGTGGAGGAATCTGGGTCTCCGGTTGACGGCGGTTTTGTTAACAGTCCCGTTGTGGCGGAGTGCGGTAGTGTTGATTTTGGGAAATGCTCTGATATCGATGACGGTGGAGAGGAATCGTGTAAAATTGATACTTGTGTAGAAATTTTGCAGCTTGAGAATAATGGGGTTTTTGAGACGAGTGAATTGAAAGAAGAAATTGGGGAAGTGAAAGAGCAGCAAGGATTTATGGGTTTACTAATTGAAGCAGCAACATTGATATTTGGAGACTTTAAAGACGAAAATCCATTTAAACTTGATGAGAAATTAAAAATGGATGAACACCACTACAACAACGACAACGACGCTACTGCTGCTAAAAAACAGCTTAAACGAAGAGTTAACGAGTATACAGAGGAAGTTATTGAGGATAAATCTTCATATCCATTGGTTCGATCAAAAAGGGGGAGAATTCAAGTTTTACCCAACAAATACAGAGACTCCATTCTCGAGCCATTAACGCCCTTCTCAAGAATCCGATCAACCATTGTACCTACTAATAGACGGCGGTCCAAGTAGTAAGTAAGATCGATCACTCAATTTTCTGGTGAAGTTTGTACTTTTTGTTGTGTTAGTGTAATTTTAAGCTATGTAGTAAGTAAGGGGAACTGGTTGACAATCCTTATAAACACTTGTTTCAGATTAATTTTGCTAGCGCGAGTTTGCTCACATTATCGATCCCAATTATATGGTAGGCATTGACAAGTTAATTTGTTATGAATTCTTACAATACAGAATATGTCGGGACATGTTCACCTAGACACGTGTTAAGAAATAAGAAAAGCTAAAGTAGAGCGATAATTGACAATGAAGATTCATATAACTGAGTCCAATTTGGTTTGGATGGTTTATTTGTTGTTTTGTGTTACGAAGAATGATATGGCGTGGAAATGAGTTAGTTTTTAGGGTTAAGATGTTAAGGAATAACAAAAGTCTTACATTGATGATTAATGAGATAGATGGATTCCTTAAAAGGCTTGAACAATCCTTCTCCTTTTGAACTAACTTTTGGGGTGTGAGTTAGACCTAAGATCTAATTCAACATAAGATTCGTTTCTTTACTATATGGTAGGTGATTTTTGTTGTTATTAAATGTCGAATTGATTTTACAAACCAAGTTCATTGTGTTACAAGTTGGAACATTTGAAAACGCTTATATTTATTGGTCAAAATAGGTTCTAGTTTAATGTTGGACAAGGCAAAAAGGACATTCAAAGTTGAAATTTTTTGTACTCTTGATTGGGGGCATAAAGGGGGAATAAAAGTAGAGTATGTTTGGTGCTTAGTTCTTACTACGGTGAGGGCATTGTGTTGGATTTAAGTAGACTTAAAAAAGTACTAAATTGTGGTAGCATAGTACCACAAAATGATAGAAATTTATGAAAAAGATACACGCTAAATAGTGAAACATTTCATTTTAGTTTGACTTGCAACAAAATTTTAAAAGTTAAATTTCCTTTTATCATATATTTTTGTTAAAATAAAAATGTGTGCAATGTACCACTATGCCCTTTGAATTTTGAAATTTTAATCATTTCAGGTACAATATTGTACTCAAAGAATTATTGAATAGAAAGTAATATTTTCTTAAATAGACAACAAAAAGTAAAATATGTTATAGAGGAATATGATAGAGAGGAGAAAGAAACTTCTTACTTCTCTCGAGGGGTGTTCTATAATAGATGAAAACTTTTTTATTTATCGGGTAAAATTAACTTGGTCTTAAAGTAAATGATCTTAATTAAATTTTAATGAAATAAAATAAATATTCATTATAACACAATAAATATATTTATAACAAAATATAATTGAAATAGCAAGGATAATAAATAGGAAATAATTCTACTAGCAAATCTGCATCGCAATGATCAAGCTTAGGCAACTGTTTACCAAAAATACAAAAATATCAGTCAAATTTTGAAATAGCATGATAAAGGTGATGTAAGCATTGTAGTCCATATCAATTTATTTAGAGTGTAGCTAGGTTTTTTCCACTTCTCTTTTCTCCCCCTTTCGTATCCAATGACTTGAACTTTCAATGTACATTCTTAATTAGGTCTAATGTCATATATTATTGGGATAGAGGTAGAAGTTCAAGTACGAGTTCGACCAAAAATTCAAATATTCAGAAGTTTATTAAATATATATAAATATTAAGTTTTGAATACAATTATTCATACTTAAAATTATCGTTATAAAATTCAAAATCTATAAATTCAAATTCCGACTTCACACCTCCATGTACTAAAAATTTTAAAAAAAGTAAAAAATAAAAAATCTCTGACTATTTTTTGAAGTAGATTAATCCCAAGGAGCAGCCTTTGGACCAAGAAAGATAACGTGTCCATGGAAGACTTTGACGGGAAAATTGATTGATTAGGTCGTCAAAACTACCGTGTTCACTTTTTAAATTTTACCTTTTCCTATTTTGTCATCCTTTCAAAATAAACAAATATAGCCTATAGGCAAAGGTTGAAAATATAAAAATACACTTCTTCTACCCATCATTTATGAATTTTTAATAAACAAAGCAATGTTATGTGAGTTGGTTTGCTTATTGAGTTTGCTAGAGTTTTGTAATCTGCATTATCGCTATTATAAAAAACGTTTTTTCATACTATTTTGAGAAGAAGTAACCCAAGTCATTGACAACAATGAGAAAATTTTAATTTCTTAAGAACTGTTCGAAATATTTTTCTACTTATTGGTTTGAACACAAATACCAACCAGGGGCAGAGCTAGAAGTCCGAGTACGGATTTGACCCAATATTTGTATTCAAAAGTTTATTAAATATATATAAATATTAAGTTATGAACACAATTATTAACACTTGAAATCGTCCTTCAAATTGTTTTGTTAAGTTAATAACAACTAGTTAGTACAAACTATGAATAAAGTATATTCTGTGTGCTTGTACTAATGTAAATTGGAGCCCAATTATTATGTAAATTTAGTTGTACGTTGGTTGTTGCTCGCAGCAGTTAACCATTGCTACTATAAAGGAAGAGTGCTGAGGTAAGTTAAAACTATTGTTTTTATTAAAGTTCTTTTCTTACAAAGTCACGCCCATAAGGTATTTGTTTAAAGCTTTTTTTGGGGACAAAAGATCATATTTTGGTATCTTATAGGCTGACCAGATTGCTGTCAGCTAACATTATGCTTAAAATTTATCACATTCATTGCCAACTTAGGCAAGATAATGTGGGATTACAGTTCATGGCATGCCTTGATTTAGATAAATGGTGTATTAATTACTTCAATTTCTTGCTAGCTTAGCTTGCCTACTTGTTTGCAAATTATATGACAGACTTGTCTGATATTCCGGGCTCAAAAGCTTGCTGAACTGAAAGGCCTGTGCCAGTTTGAAGTTTCACTGACACTTGGGCTACGATTCCTCAAGAATAAGTTTGAATATAAGTCATATAATCTCTTAACGGTTCCTGAGGTTGTATGTCTTTGTCTTGCAATAGTGCAATTCTTTTTACTTGAATAGCTCAGAGGCTAGCTAGTTCCCAATGGATGTCTCCGCTTTTTTCATTCATTCATTCTTCTTTTTTGACATGATATTCATTTGCACCAAATCATATCTAGTGGATACACATTATCAACAATGTCGTCATCAGAATAGGAACAATTAGTTTGGTAACATTTTGCATTTTCAGTTTGTAACAACTCCAATTTCACAATAGAAACATTCAAATATTATAATCACTAAACTCGAAGTTACAACGGAAAATGAAACTAACAAAGAAAACTATTGTAGAAGATAACTAGAAGGGAGATGAGAAGCATAGACTCAAAGAAAGGGGATGAGAGGACTAGACATTTTGCTCAATAATTTGCATAATCCCTAAATCACATATCATCACTACCCTTTTTGATGGAACGTTTCATGCCCACTACTCAACCCGGATCCCAAATTAACCTGGCCCTATCCCAATTAAGAACCTTGTCCTCAAGGTTCAAGTCATGAAATCTATCCATAACTTTCTCAATTATCTGAAGAGTAGCAATTTCCACTTGCTGCAATGTCTCAAGTGTACAGTTCCAACAATACAAGCCAAAGAAAATGATCTGATGCAAAGTGCAACTCTATGCTGTCTTCCAAGAGTAGTAAGGAAATTGGCATTACTCTGTAATAACTTGTCCAACTTTAACACATCTAAAGCGTGGCAGATGTCTCTGCAACATATTCCACTATCAAGATTGAAATTAAGATGTAATCCCATCGGGAACCAATTTTCCAGTTTCCAAAGGTACTGTTGCAATTGGAGGTTGCTGAGATAGTGGAATATTACAAATGTTGCTCACCTAAAATAAAAGGAAATAGTAGAAAGGCACTGAGAATTTGTGTGTTCTGTGACTAGCAATCCAAAACCAGTACAATTTGTTTTACTAAGGAAAGAACTAATTAACCCTTAATTGGTTGCAGTCTATTCTGGAAGTAGGGAAATTGAGTGAAATACCTTGTCCAACAGTTAATTCGTTCTTCTATAACTTTCCTTTTCAGTTCAACACTTGACATGCTCGTACTCCAGTTATTTCTCATGCTTAAAAACAGCACCTGAAATATTCAGAATTGGTGATGTGGTTCTCTGCTATATTTTATTGTCTCAAAAAGCTGAAATAAGCATATCAATTATCTTTGGTCTGAACACATTGTAAGATTGTTCATCTTAAGTGTAAACGTAATAAGAATAATCCATTTAAGAGGAGGCCACTATGGTATTAATACATAGGCTAACATTATTGCAAGGTTGTATTAAAGCCTTTTCATGCTCTTACATTTTCAATTTCTCAGATATATAATACAATGAAACACATGAAATGATTTACAATGTACCTATTTAATCTAGAGTACCTTCACAGTGTACCTCTTCCCATCGTCTACATTCTCTTGTATGGTTCTTCTCAATTTGTCGACTTGCAGGTGGCAGAGTTCAAAACCCTGTATTTTTCACTGTGTTAGACAACCTTTATTATATATGCTCCTGAAACATAACGTCTATTTCACTGTTATGTTTTGTTTAAGCTTCAGATAACCGGAAGAAACATGTATTGATGATTAGGGTAAACAATCACACTCTCAGGGTCAGAATCATGAAACTAAATGAATATTCTTCCTTCGTAGCTATCTGAAAAACTGTTCGTTAAATGCTTGACCTCTAATTTACCCCCACCAACTCACATTTTTCGACACTAATAAATTCAACTGTACCATTTTAAGGGAAAACAGTTTGGTTGTCCCCTGCACTCTTCCTAGAAGGCGGTACTCATTTATTGGTATGTGGTAATATTAATAATAGTTTATTGGGGAAAAAAATTGTATTTATTTATTTAAAAGAGAGACGAGTTGTTTTGAATGATTCTTTATTTCGTTTTATACACGAATATTACCTTTTAATTATAAATAACAGCGTCCTCATTAATTATTTTACCCCATTCCCAATCAAAGGAGATCAACAATGGTACTCCACTAACCACCCATATCGTGTCTTCATTTTTTTTAAAAAAAATTGTTATTAAATGAACTGAAAAGAAAATACTATTTAATTTCACCCATGTTTTTTTCTTCTCGTTTAATTGTTCTGTTTTGAGAAGTACGGAACTTGTCGATGATATGTTAGATGAAGTAATATGTATCCCTTTATGGAGTATAATTGAAGCATGCGACTTTCTTGTTGTTTTTAAGGCCAGAAAATGAGAAAATGGTCGAACTAATTCCATCTTAAATACATCCAAAATCGTGTAAAATAAAAAAGTCTCAAGGTATAGATGAGATAAGTAAGAATATTTTATGAGATTATATAATTTTATCTTCTATATGAAATAAATCGATGCTTAATTTAATACAAATGGTGGGAATTGTCTTTTTTAGAAGATTTTTATTTAGATATTAACTACGTACCAAGATAATCCAATCGTTAAAATCAATAAAAATATCATGGACCAAGGACATGAAGTTTTTGCTCGATACAGTAGCATTTTGTCTCTGATATGATTAGTATTTTAATCACTCAAAGATAATGTGATAAGATAGATGACATTTCTTGATATGAAATAATCTTATTGATGAATTTATTTTTAAATTTTCTAAAGAGCTCATTGGCTTATTAACTGGTCCAAGCGTGTCACCAAATGTGTGGAGTCCCTCTAACGTCTCAGTCACGTCGTCTCTCGACTCTCGAGCCGCAACGTACAAACATTACGGTCGTCGTTAATATTAACTGGTAACCGGTAGTTAATCGGTACGCGTTTCGCTATTTAAAGAATACCTTGACTCTGGCGACCGACCTACTCGGTTATAGGTTGACTCATCCACACCAAAATATATAGGCCTATGCATCCGCCAACATTTTCTTCATTTCTTCTCCACGTTGAACCATGAACACTACATTTTGCCCTTTGTTTCTTCCTTAATTACGATTCTACAACTTTGTTATGGTCACCGCCGCTTCACTTGTCCATCTATAAACAAACCGATATTTCTACACAGTGATGGCATCTCCGAGAAGTCATCGGAGAGTAATCGAGGAGAGGAATCGGAAGGGGAAGTTATCGGAGAAATCCATGTCGTTTCAAGGATATATCCCAGGGAGCACTTCAGAGATATCACGAAGAATTAGGACTGTTCCGGACTTGTTCTCCGGCAAGGGATCTGCCGCCGGTTCTATGCCGGATTTACAGGTTAGGCCGAAGTTGACGAAGTTGCTATTGAATGTGACGATTCAGCGGAGTCCAGGCCCTGTACAGGTGCTAATATCACCGGAATCAACCGTTCATGATCTCATCGCCGCCGCTGTACGGCAATATTCGAAGGAAGGAAGACGTCCGGCACTTTGCTCCACGGATTTCTCCGATTACGATCTTCACTACTCGCAGTTTAGCTTAGCCAGTAAGCACCGTTTGATTACACTTCCTTCAATATTCAGGGTTGAATCTGAGCCGTCCTAATTACTGCAATTTGATTGGACTATAAATTGATTAAATACCATTACTATTGTTATTTGAATAATCGTACTCCACTAATTTCACGGGATATCATTTGATTGGTGGATACAGGCTTGGACAGGGCAGAGAAGTTGCTGGCGTTGGGAACAAGAAACTTCTTTTTGTGCCCAAAAAAGTTAGGCAGTGACTTAACGTCGTCGTCTTCAAGATGTAAAAAAGAAGCTCAAACTGAAATCAGTATAGATTTGCCTTGGCCTAAATTCATGGATTTCATGCTCTGAATAATATTAACAGCTTCACAACTTGGTGGCTTTTTTTTTTTACTCCCATGAGTTCTCTAAGTTGATCAATCTCGCCATAGTTATTTTTAAAAAGGTCGAGATTGTTATGTTGTACATAAATCACTAGTAGTATTTATTTTGGATAGTTATTTTGTAAATATCTCAAGTCGTATGTAATATATATATACTCATTATTAAGAAATATGGTGGATTTAAAGGAGTTTATTTTTATTTAAAGTTTTGAATTTGAGTTATAAGGGGAAATTAAACAAATCTCTTGTGTTTGAGTGATAAGTATTGGACAAGCATCAATAAGCGATAAAGAACGCATTTTTTTAAGATCATATGATGCAAATTGAATTTAATCAGACTAATGGATGTTCCAAAAGTCGTATACTAGGATCCAGTTGTTTTTTTCCCCAGATTATTTGCATACATATATATAGTGGTTGGCTCATCGAATTCAACTAATGGATTTGTTTTGGATACCTTGAAAAGACAGAATATAGAAATGGTCATCTTTCAATATGTATCCAATGGATTACTTCTCCATTTCATTTTTACTTAATCCCTCTATCGAAATACATGTTTCGTTTTACTCTTTCAAATATAGCAAATTAGAGAGTTTACTACTTCCTCCGTTACTATTTGTATGTCGTCCTTACTAAAAATAAATTATCCTTAATATTTGTCATTTCACAAAATCAATGCATAAATGATATTATTCTTTCTATTTTTTTAACCCTTGATAGTTAATAGTATGAATTTGACCAACATAAGAAATCTAAATGATTAATTCATGTTCATTGGTCAATTTAATTAGTCAAAATAAATTAATTTATGTTCATTTATTGAAACTTGACTTCAAGAGAATACGGAATCAGAATACAATGGTAATTGGAAAGCTTACATAATTTTTAAGGGATATGAAATCTAAAATGGTGACATATAAATAGGAATGAGTATTCTTTTCTCATATTATCCTTAAGATTAAATAACTGCATAAAGTAATAGTAATCAAATTTAGAGTTTCAAAACATCATTAATAATGTTAGTTTAATAAACTACACCTTTGATTAAAGTTTTTTTCTCGAAACGTATCAAGTCAACAAGGGTCAAGTAATTGAAACGGATACAAGTATAAAACAAACCAAACAAGAAAATAATAAGAATCGAAATTTTATACTACTCTATGATTAGACGAAGAAACTGACTTATCTCAACACAAAAATTTGATATTGCAACTTGCAATTGGAAACGTTCCTAACAAGTCGTTCTCCACTCTTCATTATATCATTATATACTTGTCTAATTTAAATCATTATATACCACTCTTCAAGGGAAGTATAAACACCTTTATTTCTTGAAACAGCAACCAGATTTATATATTTTTTTTAAAAATGGATCACTTAAGTTTCCTTATACATAAAGTTGCACATTTTACCATGAACTATTTTTTTTTTTCTTTTTTACTTTTACCCCTTAGCAATCGAACTTATGACTAGTAAGGTAGTAGGGTAAACATTTTTTAGGGATTTAAGTCATGCATAAACATAACTTATGAAATATTATAATACTAAAATATAAACTTATACGATACGAAAAAGTCAAATACCAGCAATACAAAATAGGGACAAAAGTGGTAATGACCCTTCCTTATACCCAATCAAAACAAAAGCCCAATTTCCACTTTTAGGACTTTTTAGTCTATCTGTATGCTGAGCTGCAATTTTGATTAATTATAAATTATAATTAGCAAATTGAATTTGCCACTAAGGTGGTTTGCCCGAGTGGTTAAGGGGGAAGACTTAAGATCTTCTGCACATAAGTGCGCGTGGGTTCGAACCCCACAGCCACCAAAGTTTTCTTTTTCTTTTCATTCCTTCTCTTAATTTATCATTTCGAAAAATAAATAAATTATTTCAATCACTCTTTTTCAAATCTAAATCAGTTTATATTTTGTACCCTCCCCACTTGAGCTGAAGATTATCAATCATGTTCTTTCTAATCTCTTCTACTCAATTCTTTTTCGGTCCAACTCTATTTTTGGACAGTCGCTCGGCTCTCAAACCGAGTCATTTGGCCATCTATGTGTTTCTCCAACTACTGCATCCTCGCTCTCGCATATTGTCCACCATGAAGGTCACTCCTACCTTGCCCATATACATATCTTCATTTCCAATCCTATCTCTCTTAGTATATGCATACATTCATCTAAGCATCAACATTCTTAACATGAGGATTTATCATTAAGTCTCAATGACACATTCTTATTATATAAAACATTAGACTAGCCTTCATTTCATCCATCCCACTCCAATACGATAATTTCAATGTTTTCTTAAAGAAAAACAAAAAACAGGAGGATACAATAGCAAGATGATTGACAATGCATAAAAAAAATTTAAAAAATTGCGTCTGCCGGGAGTCGAACCCGGGTCTATTGCTTGGAAGGCAATTATCCTAACCGTTGGACTACAAACGCTGTTGCAGTTCCTTTGCATACAATTTATTTATAAATAGCACTGTGAATAACTAATTCTACACTCTATTGTGTATTGAGGAGTGTATTTCTAATACCATAGATTTTTAGGTATTAGTAATGCAAAGAGATTTAATACATGCATTAGCATGGTTAAAGACCCAATTAACCCTCAAAAACACTTTTACATCTTTTCCACCATAATTGTGGAGGATACTTTTGTAAATAAATATTTTTATACAATGCCAACTATATTTAATACACCAAACCAAACCATGCATAAGAAATAATCTATGTATAATTAATGCAAGCATAACTAATACAAACATTATTAATACATTCTATTGAGCATTATTTTTATACACTCTACCAAACGACCCCTGTTCGATATGTGCAATCTTATTTTCTCTTTTTCCACTCTAATAGCGAAAAATTAATCCA